AAACATTCCACTGTCTTATCAGCCTAGCAGAACACACTGTTGCTAGTTACAAGAAATCTTACTGAAGGAAAAAAAAAATCAGTAAAAAGAAAAATTGGCTTTATCCTGGCTCAAACCAGGACATTCCACCCCTATTCCATACCATATATTACAAACAGGCTCTATACTTTACCAGCTGTCAAACTAAGGATTCTCTCCCAAAGTCAGATTACCTTGAGGTACATATTGTACTTCACCATCCTCCATCATCACACACCAGGTATGTCCAGGTCCCTGAGCAAAAGCAATACCCCTGACAGGTTTACCTTTGCCTGAAGCAGGATAGACCCAAACACTTTTACCCAGCAGGTTTCTTTCACATACTTAATTTCTAACTGAAATGATGAAGGAACAAACTCTGTATCCTGTCTTTCATAATTATGCTAATAACAGGCAATAACCCAGTAACTAGGGTCTCACTCAAGACATGACTACAGAGTTATCAAATAGGAGCCACAAAAGTAATCCTTGTACCCTGAGCTACACCACCAGAACACATTGCAAGTGTAGCCCCCATGGACCTCAGGGCGGAACTAATGGTGCCTGCTCTGGGAAGACGCTCAAGCCAGTCTCCCTGCCTGGTGCTGCTTCAATCTCCACCCAGAAGGCTACCAAGGCAAAAATGCTGTATCTACAGGGACAGCTATACCCTAATTCCTCTGAGGTAAAGGGGAGCTTCTAGCACCTCCTTACCTGATTCCCAAGATGAAAGCCTGAAGACTGACTTCTTGTTTGTCAGAGACTAACAAGGGAAGATGTACTACCTCCAGAAGCAATGCAAACCTCTTGACCAGAACATTTACTGGGTGGTAGAGTGACCTTGCATGTGTTCACAGGTGTGTCAAAAGTTTCAAACTGTAATCATAGAATGGTTTGGGTTGGAAGGGACCTTCAAGATCATCTAGTCCCGACCCCCCGTCATGGGCAGGGACACCTCCCACTAGACCAGGTTGCTCCAAGCTCCATCCAACCTGGCCTTCAACACTTAGAGGGGTGGGGCTTCCACAACTTCACTGGGCAACCTGTGCCAGTGTCTCACCACCCTAACACTAAAGAGTTTCTTCCTAATGTCTAACCTAAATCTCCCCTCTTCCAGTTTTAATCCATTTCACTTGATACTATATATCCACTCATGTTTCCTGGCACATCTTTCCTGCTTTCAGGCTCCAATCAGGGGTAAGGCTTTTCTTCAATAAAGACTTCCGCTGTGTTTCTGAAATAGCTGACAGAAAGAGAAGTTGGAGCTTTAGCAGGAAGCCCAGTGAAGTGTCAGGCTCAGCAGGCTATAGCAGCTAATGACACTGAGGGTCAGAAGTTGGGACCGTAAGGGAGAAGAGCTTAGAGAAGCCAAACAGCAAGACCCAAAGAACAAGGAGTACGAAGAAAAAGCTGTATGTGGAGTCTTAAGAGTCCTGGGCAGGTCTTTGAAAGCAGCAGGGAGAGCAGGATAAATTCTGAAAACTAAAATGAATGCTTGTTCTCAGTTAAGAACTCTCCAGGGAGGGGTGTTTAAGGAAGAAGGAAACTGTCAGAAACTCCAACTTTGAAGAAAATTTTGGAAAGAATACTTGACTTTGTCATATCTCACTCTGTTTTTAATAGCATTGAGAACAAATTTCCACTGAAACACTTGAAAAAACTTTTGTTTAGTTCCTGTGTAGCAAAGCAACAGTATCCAAGAGCTCAAACACATGCCATCATATCTCCAATAAAAAGCCAATTATACATTTAACCTTGATTCATATATTCTTACAGTAATGAAGAATGTTTAAGTTAAACCCAGACAAATTATTCTTAATAGTTTTAGCAGAACCTGTCCACAAATGTGTCTGCAAGTATTAGGCACATGCTGATTTATGGTATTTTTAATGCATGAAATCAATAATCACAGAAGTCTTAAACACAGTTTCTTTCTACCCAAGAGAGCTTATTCACTGCATTCAGTCCACTATAAGAAAAAGCAGAAGATTAAACTATTTTTCTAACTTCCTGCAAAATAATATTCCATGATACAACACTTGAGTCAATTTTTGTGATTAATTCCCACACAAAGCATTCTCCTTCACATTACCCCTATGTAACCAGCACACTTGGATAACT